TTGAAATCCAAAATACCTTCGACTATGGTAGCTCAGTTCAGCCTAGTAGGTCATTGCATTGGAGAACCTGTTCGTATAAATGAAAACTAACCGGAAGTATTGCAATGCTATCAAGGGATGTAGAGAAGCCAGTATAGAGGCCATGAGTGATTTCGGCTGTCGTTACAAATGGCGACAACGCCCTGAAAAAGCAAATCATATGACAAGCAAAACGTAACTAAGTTCACCTACCGCAGACACACTGTCTGATGAAGTGTCCCTCGAGAAATCCGTTCCTGAAGCCATATTCGTTTATACGAACAGGCAGTAGTAGTAATCGTCGTGCGTGAGCCCACGTCTGGACCGCTGACGTTTGCGTGCTAATATTCGAAATCCAACATTCGCCTTCCCATGACCCCTGCTTTCCATCGTTATATTTCGGATGTGAGTCGGTAACTGAAACGCACCTCGGCAAGTGGAGAAAATATTAAGATTCAGTGGAAAAAACAGGAAAAAAACGCTTAAATACAATAAATGTGTGGAAGGCGGTTGAGGCTTGAAAAAACGAAAAAGCCAGAACAACTACGGCACATTTCTCGTTAGTGTGCCCCAGCTCCTTGTAATGGTAACACAAGAGCCCATTAATGGGACGGGGTTGTGGTCCATTTGATTCCGCCTAATTGACCGGCTCGGAACGCGCTGTAAGAGAAGGGTCCCGATAAATTGGTGTGTTATTGAGTCCGAAAATTAGAGAAATGCGGAGCGGGAACGCTGCTGAGAAAGGCGAGCTTCATAGAGAACATTGAAATTTTTCTCGTGAGGTTGACCGTGGTACGGAAGAGATACCGCTGTGAGGAAAAGGAAAACGCGAAAGAGCATCTCGGACGCGATAGGGGGCGGTCGCCATGTGCTCGGATTGCAACAATGGCAGCGGTCGCAGCAGTTAGGCAAAGGCATTAATTCCTTGTCGCGCACTTTCACATCGTCGCATAACACCACGCGCTTGATTAGGAGTCCTGCTCCCTCCTCAAAGAGAGAACTTCTCTAAGGATCTCATCGTGACAGGTGTCTTTAATGACCAGCCAAGTTCGGGTTGTTGACATGGTTTTCAGGAAGTGAACCGCGCGACCATCCACCAAACGCGCCCGCATTGAGCGCTTAATACTTGATCAATGCCCTGCTGTGAATGCATCACACAAGAAATCACAAGAAATCAGTCATTTAGGCAGGTTAGGAGGAGCAAAATAGGAAGTGAAAAAAAAACTCACGTGGATTTCAGCAGCTGATCCTGTAATGTTCACTTTATAGGTGTCACATGTCGGGCAGCTCATGGTGATGCTGAGATCGTTCGACTTGTTTACGTCAATCTTGCGGTAGCGGTACTCAAAAAGCGCTCGTGAGGCAAAATACGTGTCCTGAAATGTGAGAACGTGATGGCTACGCCTCTTTTAGCAACAGCGGCTATGGTATGAAGCGTTCCTATTTGGGTGACCTGTGCTTCGAGCACTCACTAACATGGGTTCCCGGAGAATAATGAAATCTGTTCACAGCAACCTGACTAATCTGGCAGGAAAATACCACAATTTAAACTGCATTCGAAAATTGAGGCATCAGGGGGGAACAGTGCCACGTTCGGAGTAGAAGTAGATCCGCAACCACCTTGGGGGTACATAGTTAGGTCACGACGCGGCGACGCAATTGTTGTGAGACGCCCCCCGCGCGATAGACTTGCGCTGCCATGGATCAGAGCGACACCCCTTTTCGGAACTTCCTGCGCTCTTCCTTTGAGCACCATTTCAGTGCTTTCACACTGAGCGATCTTCCCAAATCAGATGTCGCTAATTTCCCCAGCGCGCGACACGCGACAGGGGTGCGCATCGCCGCACCGTGACCTAACAATGTACGCCCTTGCATTTTACTAACACTACAAATAGTTTGTTACCGAAGCGAAACGAATGGAGAAGCTCACTCACAATCGCATTCTCGAAAGTCCCGTCTTGTAGCTGTTGCTCATATAGCCAAATCGCTAATGGATCCCAGTCCACATTTTGACGCTCAGCTCCTGGTGAAACGAACGCAAGAATACCCAAAGCGTTCACCAGAACATCTCCACTCTAAACTCTACAACTTGAGAAACGACATTCAACTCTCAGTAAAACCACTTCATCAAATAGAAAACTCAGCACCAAGCAATGACAGTCCGAGAAAATTGCTCGCTTACCAACTTATGACAAGAATTTTACCTTCAGTTTCCGTGCTCCACTGGCCTCATCAAAACTGCTTGTTTTAGACTTCAACAGTGGGTAATGGCCAGCGCTCCAGAAGGGTAACAGTTTCCCTAAAGCCAATGTTTCGAAAAAAATCTCTGCACAATAGAGCGAGATCAAAACAACAGCTGCCTTAGAAATTAACTAATGTCAACGTTCCAGGATATTTGTGCCTGATACATGAAAGGAAACATAACGGAACCAACTGGAGTCCCATACGGAATGCTCTTTCCACGCTAACCTTTGAAGCGCTTCAGCGAAGAGTTTCATGGCTAAGAATAGCTCATGAGTACAATTAGCAAGGTCATAAGAGATGTTGGAATATCACTGAAACACATTGTTGGCCTTGAGCCGATGAGGAGGCCAGGCATCGAATCAAAGGTGTTAGCTGGCACCCCGTGCACCGGTCATGTTCCTTCAGATAGAAGTGAGCCATTTTTTTCGGTTTCCGTGCCATTCTGGGACAATTTTCTCGGCGCACCCTATAGGTAGGCATTTTCAAGGACCGACGACCACAGCAAATATTCGACTGTCGTTACTGTGAATTTCGAAGTATCACAATTTTTACCATTTGACATAGTGGCCAGCTTTATTCGCATGATTTCACTGGTGGCGTTCGTTCCCATGTAAGCAAGGGCGGCTAAACAACGTATATCCCATTTCCAACCTTCGTCGAGAGAGTAAAACGATGATACAAGATTGAGCCACGCTTCATCATTTCTCTGAAAATATCTCACGATTACGGTCTACATATATGGCTTTTTACAATTTTTTTTTCAAATTTTTTTGACCCTTTACTTCAAATGCACATACTATCTTGTATGTGTTAGGAGCAGTTCTGCTATTAGCGTATCGAGGAAGAAATTATCGCATACACTTCATTTCAACGGGCCGGTTGACGTGCTGACATTCCCTTGCGATTCAACTTTTACCCGAATGCGCGTCAGACTTACGCGACAAGCCGGAGGGGGGGGGGGTTCTCCCTTAGACTCAGACACGAATACAGCACATAAAGGCGGATTCCACGACAAGGCCAAAGGTCGAAGAAGAGGAAACTCACCCATTGGAGAGATAGGCGGATCTCCCAAAGGTGTGGACCGACACACCATTCGCATCCAAGGATATGCCCCACCCCCCAGCGATCTAAATGACATTCCCACAGCCCAATCGGTGCGCTATTGGCCCGTCATGCTCTACATCCTCTCCTCGTGTCGTGTCGTGTCGTGTCCGAGTCTCAGAGAGCGTTAGATATGATGAGGGCAGTACACATGAGAGTCGCATCAATGCGCTGAAGGGGTTCCATTTCCCCGGTTCCAGGCCATTTTTCTCAGTTCTTTCTTCTTTCTTGCATCATTGACCAGCTCTAATTTAATTTCCAGTAGGCCGCCTTTACATCGTAAAACCCGCCAGGACACTATTGAGGCAACGTAGCTCACAAGAGAGCAGTAGCCTGACGCGATTCAAATGGCGCGGCCTAGTTGCCGTGGATTTATCATGTTTCAGCGAGCAAATGTGGCGATCACTGTAGTACCATTAGGGAGCACCAGAGCAACATTGAACGCAAAACATCCTACTTACTATATAAAGCGCTTCGTCTGTCGTCTGTCGTCTGTCTGTATGTCTGTCACGAAATTCCCTAGCTCCTCGGGATCCGCCTGGAGGGACCGGGTCAAGTGTGGGATGGGTGGGCAAGGTCTCACGAAGTACAAAACACACATCAGCTAAGCGGAGCCCCGCCCACAGTGGGCGTGGCGTGCGTCGAAATGAACTGTACTGACGACCAAGATTTTCAATTCAGTGACAAAACAGACCTCGAAACTGGGCCAAAAAGTGGGTAAAGGTGTGCATTGGTAAGTCACATCGAATTAGGGAGACCCACCCCCGGTGGGCGGGGCGTTCTCCAAAAAAGCAGTGCTTTATGAAAAATTTCATAACTCGGTTGGGAGAAAGCCTACAGAGCAGAAAACAAATTGGTGTAGGGGAGCAATGTCTAAGGTGTTTCCAGCATACATGACGTGGGCGGAGGCCCGCCCACAATGGGCGGGGCGCGCTCTGAAGTGTACAGCATTTTCTACAAGTCCTCATAATTCGGGCCGGGGAAGTCTTAAGAGCCGGAAAAAGGTGGATAGAGGTGGTGGAGGAGTGGAGGCCAGCTGTCATCGGTGGGCGGGGCTTGACCAAAGTGGGCGGAGTTTGCGACGAAAATTCATAACTCGGCTCCAAGAAGTCCCGGAGGCCGGGAAAAAGGGAGTAGAGGTCGGCGAAGGAAAGGATGCTATTAGTGGGCGGAGCACGCACCAAGTGGGCGGAGTTTGCCAAAAGTGTCGCAATTCGGTTCCAAGAAGTCCTAGAGATAGGGGAAAACGGGGTTAGAGGTTGGCGAGGGAAAAGAGGTCAACTGCTATTAGTGGGCGGAGCACGCACCTAAGTGGGCGGAGTTTGCCAAAAGTGTCGTAATTTGGTTCCAAGAGGTCCCAGAGACCGGTGAAAAAGGGGGTAGAGGTCGGCGAAAGGAAGGGGGCCAAATGCTATTGGTGGGCGGGGCACGCACCGAAGTAGGCGGAGTTTGCCACGAGATTTATTGTCCGGAAGCAGTCCGGAGACCGGGAAAAGAGGATAATGGTTGACGAAGAAAAAGGTTGAAAGCCGTCGATGATGGAGCGGATAGAATTTAGCTGAGAATTCAGATATTCGTGGTGTATCAAGCCAAATTTGAAAATTTTCGTCGCACCATCAAAATTCGCCGCAGATCTGTGTTGCGCGCGCAATGCGTGCGGCGCCAACTGGTTAATTATAAAGGATTCCATCGTGATATCCACCCCGTATTTCCTTCCACCTGTAAAAACTGGGATTACTATTGCTGGCACGGACTGTACTACCTCATGCTCCCTCTCTTAGATGAATAGACCCTGCTTTCTTCCGACTAGTGAACTAATACAACTACTGTGTTACATAAAAATCACCTATGTTTATCAGTCCAATAAACACGTTGAACACTAGTTGTTATTGAAAAGAATGACGGGAAATATCAAGCAGTAATCTTTTTGACTCACCACACACTCATATGCAGCACAATCACGTGATACTTGCAGTAATAATGCCTTCAGGAACCATTCCTTGTCCATGGGGTGACCCTGATGTTTCAAATCATGGCTAGAAAGAGTAGTTAGTCCCAAATTCTTTGAATTTTTTCTTGTAAGAGAGTCGCGATCAAGACGGAAACCATTGCACTACATTCAAATAATACGAAGGTCACAGGAAACTCCATTTTCTAGTAAAAACGCAATAATTGCTAAGAAACCAACTCACAAAATCAATGAGCCCGTCCAGATCAAAGCCGGCTGCTTGCCAGTTTTTCAAGAGAGATTGAATGAGGAATGTTATTCCTCCACAGACAGTGCGTGCACTTACTGATGCTTCACAGAGCAGCGATGTCGCAACGGCAGTTAACCTGAAGCGACGACAACATTTTGTCTTATTGTTAGCATTACAATTATTAATATCGTTTTAACGGTTTGAAAGCTCCAGCGTCACGAATCGGGTACAGGGCTAACTGCATTATACAACCCCGTAGGCCGATGTCATAGTTTGCGAATCGAGCGATTCGCTAGATCCGAGCGTTGCGCCAGCGAATCGAACGTTGCACCAGCGAGTCGAACGATGTACCAGCGACTCAATAGTGGCGGGACCCAACGTTCAAAGGAAGCCCGCCACTTTCAAACAGTGTCCACTGTCAAGTCCCGCCACTTTCAAAAAGGGTCCACTGTCACGTGACACTGTTTGAAAGTGGCGGGCTTCCTTTGAACGTTGGGTCCCGCCACTATTGAGTCGCTGGTACATCGTTCGACTCGCTGGTACATAGTTCGACTCGCTGGTGCAACGTTCGATTCGCTGGTGCAACGCTCGGATCGCTGGCGATTCGCTAGCGAATCGCTCGATTCGCAAACTATGACGTCGGCCGCTTCCCGCTTAGACTTTGAAGCCAGTCACCATAATGGCTGGAGGTCGTTGCGGGTTTCATGACGTCATTGAAAGTTATTGATGAAAAGGTATCAGTGTCTTCAAGGTAAAGGACGACACTCAAATGATCAGTCGAGGTCAAAATGAATGTCCAAATAGTAAGGATTCTCGAGGAAAGTTTGCGTTGGAGTTAACATCCGCTGTGAAGTCAAGAGTTGATGGCCTCTAAATATCAGATAAAAAATTACTGCAACTATCGGAAGGCACCGCAACGGATGGTAACGACGCTCGTCCCTTGTGAGTGGAGACTACAGCAAGAAAGAGACACTGCGCGCTGAGGAGAGAGATTAGACGAGAGGGCATGGCAGCTACCTAGACGCAGACATCCGCCTCCTAGACCGTTGCGTCGCGAATGACGGCTACAAGGTGTAAAGGCAGCACCGCCCCTGCTGAGTCCTTCTAATCCGCAGAAACGGCATATCTACAATTTTTGCGCTTGCAGTTTGGTCTACGCTATAACGGAAGGCATAGATCTACAAATCGCACAGTGTGAGTTCACATTAAGGAGGGGAGAATAAATCATGTGTTTCCTACAACAAACAGGATTCAACACATACAATTTACACTCACGCAATTGACCGCTCTTCAGGCTTGCGTGGACTTGAGTATTCAGCGTACCCACAGGCTGATTGATTCTCGCAGTCGGAAAAACGCAGCATATCGGATATCACTGAAAAGAACATTTTATTATCTAAAAAAATATAATTTCGGTCAGAAGATTCTTACATGATCCGATTCTATTTTCTAAGGTTTCAATAGTATGTCCGTCGACATGTAGCAGCATTTTCATTCTCTTGAACTGATATAATTCAACAGAAAGTGATTTGATAATATCGGACAGGAAGGAATGCCCGTACTCAGCGTTCCGTCGAACTCGTCGGCCCGTGACATCAGCCGGCTGGACAGGTAGAAATTCTGAAGGAAGAGTTGTTATTTCACTGACAGAACTATTCAGTCACTTCATCAAAAATTTTATCACCTTCAAGTTTGAGTTGTAAAAAGGATGCTGAGGATAGACTATACACTTCATATGGACTAGCCAGTGCTTGTGCTTTCTTGGCAGGACTGTTGACAAATACATAACTTTCATCCCAACTCAAATCTTAGTAGTACATATATTTCCCATCACTGTTAAGCGTCTCCATTCCGCAGAAGCTTCTCTACCACAGGCTCTTCGTCTGTTCATTTCAAGATCTCTCATCTGAACCTCTAAACTGGGGGACCGGGGCAGGGTCAAGCGTCACGTTGGACAAATTTCAAAAATTTTACGCCCACCCCCCCCTTCTGGAGGCCTTCGATACGACCCCCCCCCCACCAACACCATTTGTTTGTGTCTATGTGTGTATACGGATATATAAACGTGTATCCTACTCGAGAATAGCGATATAAGGATTAAATACAAAACACCATAAAACAGAACTTGGATATAAGTAGAACTTTCCCGCCGGGGAACCGAATTGAGCACGGGAGCGTTGCGTTCGCATTGGCGCGCACAATCTTCCCCTCGACCCAGCGCGGATAGACCGAGGCGGACTACTAATTTTCAAAAAGTGTAATTCTGTTCAGCGTCAATATTTTTCAAAACGCAAAGTGGATTTGTAATCTACGAGGACTAGTCACCGAAATAGCCACACTTTTTCGTTTCTTCAACCTTGGGTCAGTTATGGGGTTGAAAATTAAGAATTCGCAAAAATGCGCACTTCTTCATTTGAAAGGTTGCAATTTTATTCAAATAAGAAAGTGTAAGCAGTGGTAAAGAATTTTCGAAACTTCAGATTGCCCTTTCTTTTGTTTTTACTAAGATAGCCCTCACAACTTTTGCAAAGTCCCATTTCTCCAAAAAATCGCCGCGTTGGACCGCTTCTTGCGCACAACCAGGTTTTTTGCCTTTCAATGACTGTAACATTCTTTAGACTCAACCTTTGCAATTCTTTTCCTTTTGGAACAGACTAAAAGGTTAGAGCTTTCTAACGAATACTTGAACTCTTCAAAGTTGATGGAGTCAAAAAATCGCCCCGTTGGACCGTTGTGGGAAAATCGCGGACCGATTTTTCGCGGAGCGCTGATTTTTTTGGCTTCAAACTGTTAGACCTTCTTCAGGATGAGATTTTTGCATCTTTTATAGCCCTGGAAGAAATTAGAAGGTTAGTGCTTTCCAATGATTATTTCATTTCGTTCCCAAAATGATCGTTCAAACCACGACGTGCTGAACAAATTTGTTTTCAATGAATTTTTCGGAGCATAGCTCTCTACTATCCAATAAAGAAAGACACGAAGCTTTTCACACCCCAATACAGTTACAGCTCTCTAACACTATTTAGAGGATAATAGATAAATGGGGGCGATGGCGTAGTGGCACGCTTACCACGCGAGCGGCTCCGGAATCAAATCCTAATTCGATGAGAGCCGAACCACCAAAAACCCTTATCCATCCCTCACGAGGATAATGCGAACTAGACTCTGTCCAATAGCGAGGCACAACCCCTTGAATTGCTAATCCAGGATATCGGCTGGCCTCCCCGCAAGTCATTGTATAGGCCACATCGCATTCAAATGCCACTACGAATGTATTAGGTTGTCTCATAAACAGTGTCGCTTTTTTTCATCCAAAAAATTTTCATCTAAACCTCCATGCTTTTACATCGTGTTGTGTACCATTCGAAAGAGAATTGTCTGCTCTACAAAATGCTATGTCCCACTTCCACATTTCTTCCAGGGTTTTCAAATTTTGGGCCTGTGAAATGGGAGGTCCGGCCGACAAAAAATGGCCAAACCGACAACTATCTCTAACATTATCTTTCCTTGGGAGAAATCAATCTATGATGTACCTTCTACTTATGCATGACCTCTTCTAATCATTACACTACTAGGTTTTCCTACAAATCGCGTCGTTCAATTTCCAGAGCTGGTTTTTCAACCAGAACTCGACGATCGAGCACCATTACCTGTGATCTAGGTCGAAATTTTTTTATGGCCGAGACATTGAAGAACTGGTTGAATTTGAAGAACAAGTCATGACTAAGTTAGGAATGTACGACTGGTTGATTTTCTCATTTTCTAAGGGATAATTTTTTTCAAAGAAATGTGGTCACTTTCGCGGTAAAGCACCTTATACCGAAACATCTAAAATTCGAACTAATTCCCAACAAACAGAGAAACAAAACAAATGAGCGAGTAGAGCAGAAGAAGTGCTCGTAAAAGGAACACCACTCGATATGAAACAATGACGTTTACGAGGAACAATTTTAATTTGAAAATTGCTATGGCTTATCCGTCAGCCAATTCGAAAAGAAAAACGGCAAAGCTTTTTCGGCAACCTAAGAGTGGAATGTTTAGAAGAGGTCATGGGTAAGTATAGGGTATATCACTGGTTGATTTCTCCCCAGGGAAAATAAAGTTACAGCCAGTTGTCGGTTTGGTCAATTTTTGCCGGCGAGACCTCCCATTTTGCTGGCCTGAAATTCGAAAACTCTGAAATAGCGGTGGAAGCGGAACACAGCATTTTGTAGAGCAGACAATTCTCTTTCGAATGATATATAAAACGATGTAAAAGTTTCATGATTTAGATGAAAATTTTTTGGTTGAAAAAAAACGACATCACTTATGAGACAACCTAATACAAATGGAAGTAGAAGGGCGTGCCGCATCCCAAAAGGGGATTGATCAACGGCATAGTGCGCTTAACCCTTTATCCTTTAATAATAAAATGATATCGCCCGAGCTTTGTGCTTCACGATGGATACCGAAACCTTTTCAGGAAGTTGCAGACAGTTAAATATTTTTTCCAAAGTTTTTTGTAAGCCCTTAGTAGTCAATCTACCCTAGTGGTCACGTTTTTACTAACTTAGGTCCAGTTTGAAAACATTGGATCTCCTCGAGAGCATATTTGTGTGCGTGAACAGTCAAATATGGACACTTCCGCAGTAGACTCTTCTGCTTTGAGGTGCGCCATGCACTCGTTATGGTTAATAGTTGGAGAAGCCCTTGAATGTTCCTCTCATCTACGTATTGAAACGTTGACCTTTGTTACTACGACCCTATCCCCCCTCCCGTCGGCCAAATACGACTCCTCGTTGGCATTGTACAACGGACGGTTAACCACGGGAGGGCGAAGATTCATGGTGCAGCACCATGGAAGACCCTTTTTAGTAGCACCGAGTATGGTGCGACATTCTTTATTAGATTTTATGAAAGGGACGACATCGAGGGCGCTCTTTCGAGTTCGGAGGTCTTTCCTTCGCTTCCTAGTGGCTAGATCGTGTCAAATGGATTCGACAGCATATTTTCAGGAGTAGGACTGGATCAGGGTGAATCAATTTTGGAAAGATTCAAGGAGCCTTCGAAAGGTTTGCCACATTTCTAGAAAATTGGGTATTAGCGAAATTTACTATCATTTCAGAGCTTTCAACGTTGCCATTCTCGTTCATATCTAGGAGAAGCCGAGAGCATTTTCAGTTATGTTGCATGAAAGGAGACGGGGTGGAAATTGGTGAGTCGTGAGACATTATCTGTCCATAGACCCTGACCTTTGAAGGGGGAGGTTTTTTCCGTCAAGTATCCTTGGGTTAGCATGACCATGAGCTGGCCCGTCCCCCCATCCTCGCAATACATAGTTCTCCAAGTCAGAGTTAGTGCTTCATTTTCTCTTCATCTGAAGATTTCAAAAACAAGAACCAACGCAAATATCAGTTACTGCGCAACAGCGTAGAAATAGTATAATTATTCTCCTGAAACTTACTTGATATATCTATCGAGAAGCTGTGAACAGCGTCAGTGTCGGGCACATCAACGTGCACGTTGGTGATCATTAGGTTCACATCCGTTGGTGAGCGATGTTCACTAACACCTGGAAGAAATGCTTACCGATTTTTCAATTCGTGCGAGATTTCCGATTTTTGCAGAACATAGGCCGCTGTCAGACTTTGCGGTTCGAACGTGCGCCAACGGTTCGAGAGGGCGAGAAGATGAAGCTCTCTCACACGCAAAGTCGACTTCTCGCCTACTTCGCCACACTTTGTAAATTCGCAATGGCACGCTCAAAGCCGTTGCCACCATCTGCCCATAACCCTGTGGGAGGGATATTCACTGATTTAGCAGCAGTTCTGAACAGCGGCTACCTAGTAAACTGGAAGAATAAGTCAGTACTGAGACATACGCGGTTGCTGACGATCGATTGATATTGGGTTGTCTCATAATTCCTGTCGCATTTCTATTCAATTTCAAATTCCTTCCGTCTAAGACCGTTTCATTGCGAAATACGTTAGTATGTTGAAGTATGCTTCAAGTGCCTTAACAGCGTGGTTTCGGAAGCGCAAGCCCTTAACGGGTTAATCAACTAGTAATAAAAATAGGTCAGTGACTGCAATCAATGATTATGCTTTACGATCCTCAAATGAACTCTGTAGCAAGGAGGACAACAGAGAAGATCAGCGCTGTGTTTGACTCAGTCTCTGCTACTGATAGGGTACTGAGCTAGTGGACCAATCGCAACGGCAAAGACGAAACGAGCTATGAACTTCAACCTCATACTGGGCCTGCGGTCATTTTTGATGAGCGCCCCTTGCACCCTAAATTGGGAGTGCCTCCGCACGTTGCTACCAGGGTATTGTAGCAGATACCTGAGCGCAGCCGATGCACCAGCACACGCCATCAGTATGGCAAGGACTGCTGCAGAGTGAAGTTTTGATGGAAACCTTATGGTCCGGCCGACCATGAGCGGGAAGCACGCCTGATCACCTGGGGAAAACCCATTCTTGGATGGCAAAAGCAGAGTCTTCCCTAATCGGTCACCGGTGGAAATGAGTCATGAGTCCACTGCGACAACAACATGCGGCACGTCTTATGGCTGCCTCGCAGCCAGGAAGCACCAGCTCAACCAAAGCCCGAACTCCGTTTTCTGAGAATATCGATCTCGTTTTATTGGATTCGCTAGGTGGCCTGGTTTGGGAACCACTTCAATGTATGAAGACAAGCATTGCTAAAGTCAGCGCGGAATAGCCCTCTAGGCTGGCTTCGGGGTTGCGAGGGAATCGTCAGAAACGTCTCAGATTCCTTTCTCCGAATGTACGCCAGACCTCACATTGCAATGCCAACTCACCACGTTCTGAGGGAGATAGCCAGGGCCACGATACCTCATCCACCATATAGCATTGGCATCGCTCTATCGGACTATCGCCTCCCCTGCGCTTTGAATAAGCATCTGCCAGAGAAGAAAGTTAAAGATTGCGGTCACCCCAAAAACGACTTCTCCAAATTCTTCAACCCCCAGTTTCCTTCATTCTGGGCTGGAAGCTTCCAAACGCCCACTAGTAAATGCACGCATATCAGTGACCATGATGGTGGTTATGCTATTAGTCAGTTGTTTCCCAGAAGAGATAAAACTTGAATAAACAAAAGTGTCGAAATTGCGACAGGAATTATGAGACAACCCAATATATCTCAACTTCTTCAACTCACTGAACGTATCCCGTAGCATATTAGAACCTTGCACAGAATTTTTCAGTGGATCCGAAAATAAGGGCTTGTCAGCGTCCAAGACTATTCTCTTGTAAAGTTCCTCCGTTTCGACACGTTCCTTAAAAACTTCTAGTCAGATATGGCACACTGTGTCCGGATAATATAATACAGCGCGCAACACATAGATTTGGTCTCCAACTGGCTATGGTGCTGTAACTACAGGCCCAACAACATCGACTTGGCATTAAACAATTACTAGAATCGAAAAAAGGCCGGAATATTGATTTTTTGAGGTTGCCATCACGCGCACTACTGATTTTGGGAGGAAGCAGTAATACGTGTTGGAAGGCATAGAAAAAACAGTATTACGTGAGCTTTTTGGTGCTACACGGTTATGTACTGTCACGTTTGTGCCGTTAGGTCCGTATTTACCATTCATCTGAGAATGAAGAACGACGTGTATCATGCAACTGAAAATACTTACCGCAATGTTAACTTCGAGACGAACAGTGTCTTCTACTTCTCCAACTTCACAATGATGCTTCCCAGGAAATGAAGCTTCCCTAATTCGTTCAATTTAAACAGAAATTGGTAAGAATGTAATTCAAAGTATGCGTATAAGTTTACACAACCCAAAGCAATTCATGATCTTGAGTGACCAAAAAAGGATATGGTGAGGATCACATTTGGAGAGTATCCGAAATCTTTGAGCGAATGACAATTCTGAAATCGGAGACTCACTGTCTGAGGACAAACGTCACCGATGTGAATCCTGTTGACAGAAACTTCAGAGTGAAGATCTTGGTGTCTGTCGGTCGAGAAGGCGAGAGTGCAACTCGAGAATAGCTGGGCTGACCAAGTTGGCCGAATGATCCAAGATCCGCGCACACCTTCCTCGATGTTTCAGAGAAACACACCGAGTACTGCAAACAAATACCTATCAATCGCTGATCCATTCAAATCTATATACAGAGCCAGATTTTTGCAAAACAAAGCTCGTTTCCCAAGAGAGATATATCTTCACTACTTTTTGTGAAAAACGTCGAACACCAAAAAACTATTTAAACGCACCCTCGTAATGGAAGAACGAGGATAACCCTATCCGAATAGAAAGTTTGGCGCTTTTGCAAGATATAAGACACCCCTTAGGACTTAGATAAATTATGCTCTTTCAACGCTTTTTCCTCCCTTCCTTACTGAAGAGCACGGAGGGAGGGTATTTTTCCAGTTTGGCTTCCGTCTAAGGGCACGTGCGAAACGGAAGTCGAACTAATTCTTTGATTATTCCCCCTAAAAATTTCTAATTTCTATGTTTTTACTCAAAACTAACTATTCTAAAAGCTTAGCAGGAGGCAGGAATCACGGGGGAACGAAAATTGCTCACGCACCCCGGCTTTTCTCCTCTCGCGATTGAGGCTTTGCCCTGTTTTCGAACAAAAAAGAGATGCAATGTTCTACGCGGTTCTGAATGCATCGCCTTCACAATGCTATCTAATCTTGCGATAGCGTCGAAAGTTTTGATTGCTAAACTAATCGTTGGTGAAGGAAAAACAAACAAAGCGCTGAAAAATCCCTCAGTAGGACCCTCCTGTACCAGCCCTGGACGAGGTTATTATGGTAGACGTGCACGTTGCAACGAGTTTTGCGCACCGCTAGCTCCATGCTAACTACGAGCGAGCAGCGCTGGCGCTGCCTAAAGTGTGGTCGCGTTTTTGCGGGAGGAGAGAACTTCTAACGCCACTTTCGAGCTTCAGAAGCAGTATGACATCAACGCTTTCCCGCCAGTCTAGCGTGATCTGAACCAGATCAGTGAGCGTGCTTTACTCCAGACCGTGCCACAAGAAGATGTAGAGGAGCAGATCAGGATCATAATCCCTGGCCACATTCGGGTTTGTATTAAAGTACCGTGCATCGGAACCCGAAATTCTTTCTGTTTGATTTTTTGCGAGTTTTTCATTTGAACTGTTCTTCCCTTAACTGTGTTGCAAAAACATTACTCTCAATCGAAGTAAGTAGGAGGACCCATATTAGCCACCTTCTTAACCCCTTAACCTCACAGTATGTTCGAACCATTTTGCTAAAAAAAAACTCCCGCACTTTGTTCAGCTGGACCGTAGGAAGCACCGCACTCGTAAGATTTTGTTGCCACGAATGTAGTGGATAGTGGCTTACTTGACTAAGCAAAAAGATATTATCAACAATGAAATTACCTTGTGTTCTTTGGAAGGTCTCAGTGCCGTGACAGATACCTTAGCAGCAATCGTTTCATTTATGTAAGCATGTTTTGGCAAGTCAATCTGCAAACAAAAGTATACTTTTACATTCAATACTTTTCCAAGGGAAGTGATCATAGCATCCAGTTCGCGGCGGCATGGATTGCTGCTGGAGGCACGAAAGGGCTTGAGATTCGATGGAAATAGTAACCACGTACAAACCCCACGGAAATCTTTCTCAGAAGTGTAATCCGTTGCAACATGATTCCCATTGCATATAAACAGACCTTCCTCCCAGCCAAGCACAACCTTGATCGTGGCCGATTTTACATGTACGATCCGTCGAGAGCAGGGACAGTGTAGTAAGATGAACTGCTTCCTAACTCACGGGAATCAAGTGATGGTCCGGACTTGGCTGTGAGGAAAAAAAAGAACTTGTAGTTTGTAACTCGGCAGGCTCAGGCAAGTATTTGTAATGGCCGAATCGCGCCCAAAATGTTACCGCGATTCTGAATATAATCAGAATGCGCGGCGCACTACAAAAAAGATTGGGAAAACCAAATTATCATATCCCTATCAAAGATTTTCGACCTCCAGCCAGTCTTGTTCCGCTAATTTCACCGTACTCCTACAGACACACTTCCACACTTTAAAAACAATAGAATGCAGCACGCTCATCATCAAATTCCGAATATCAGCACGATAGAAATGTGCCAGAGATTACCAAAGAAATAAATGAATTTGAGAACAAACGAAGAGCGGTAAAGTAATAAAAAAACACACAAAATTTGCGCTGTTCGACTATCATTCGAATTAACAAATCTGAAGTTGGATCCTTCAAATGATGCTCATTTCTGACTGTGAGTGATCTACGGGGAGGGGGCAAAAAAAAGAGTCACTCTCCCCAAATCGCATAAGATGCCATTGTTAATGAATGTTTCACGGCAGATATTCCTTAGGTGACCCCTCCCCCCAAAGCAGAAGCAGGCCCTCCTTCACTGCCCCCACCGTCTTCAGAATATGACGTCATCTGCCGTCACCGTCGAGCTCAACGAGGCTTACCGTAATGAAGCTGCTACATAATTTCTTCAATTAACTGGTGAATAGCTTTTAGAGACACTAGCTGTGACTGTGCAAGACCGCTTTTGACCAGCGTTTCAGGGACGTCGTAATGGTCTATGGTACCTCGACGACCTCGTTGAGCTCGTACCGTGAACCATGTTTCCGTGGGAAAATCTTCTGATGTCGTCGGTGTAGAAGGCTGTTATGTAATTTTTGATAGATTAGAATGTGCTCTTTAATATTCAGTTGAGCTCATTTGGTTTGGTTTTGCAAGCGTGTATTTAAATCCGTTTCGAATGTGGAAGTGACTCTTTTTTTTGGTCCCCTTTAGTTTTTCCCACTCCCCTTTGATGCTTACAGGTTAGCCTTTTTCAGCTCTTGAAACATCAGAAGCAAGAAACGATTACTTGGTGAGCTGACCTCCATGAAGACATCCTTCTTGGAAGTAATCTCGACTTGGTTGGCGTCGCAGAGACCTCTTTGTCCAGGATTCCAAAATGATGATGTGATAATCCACCTGCCAACATTGTCAGGAGCTTTCACGGTTTTTGATACCGTACCCGATGCCCTTAAAGGACGCTATAATTTTTTCACCAGTATATGCAGATATGGTGAGCAATGTAAGATCACATTCAAGGTGTGTTCCAAAAAATTTCACGTCCGCCGCGCGCGGAAGCACCACCCTGCCATACTTTGCACCAAGAACCAGGAGCATCGAGTGCAGACCAGACACCACAAGTGACGACGGCCTCACAAAATGTAATGTTTTCTGCCAATGAAATGATTAGCCTGTTGCAGTTGTATTCTATCAGTTGTCACTAATTACAACTATCATTTACCAAAATCAGCTATCACTATGAATCACTTACTTGGAGGCCGTCGTCACTTGTGGTGTGTGTTCTGCACTCGACGGTCTTCTGGTTTTTGAAGCAGAGGGTACGTGTTCGCGATGTTAGGCATGTTGCGGTCGAGGCAGCATATTTGAAGTGACTCAGGAAAACGGGTTGTTTATGTTGTCTTCAAGAAGCGACCCTATTCGACTTCACTTTGAACTATCCCCACCAAACCTACTACCCAACTCTTACTTTAAGCTTTATCCATTTCTCTCAAGAACGGGTTCCTACCTCCGGCTATGGTTTCGAACATTTTCTGTGATATGAGCTAAGAACTTTATCCCGTCCCCCCCCTGATCATTCGATAACTTTTCTGCGCCACCATCTTCTGGGATTTTTTTTCGTTTGAACAGTATTGCGTCTTTGAACTTACCC